GACTTGTATGGACCATGTAACCCACAGGGTTTTGGTGTGGCAGCTTCGGGGCGAAAGGTGCTCTGGCTTTCCCTTCCTCTCCCTGCTTACCCCGGATGCAGGTCGTGAAGCTGTGCCGCGAGTGCCTGAAGAAACAGGAGCCTGTGCTGGGGGACACGAACATCTACCTCCTGAGGATCCTCAGCATTGCCTCCGAGGTGCTCTCCTACCTCCAGATGTTTGAGGAAGCAGCTGACTATGCCAAGAGGATGGTGGACGGCTACCTGTATGTCTGTGCCTTATTTTCGGCAGCTCTCTGTGGTTATGCAATGTTAGGCAGCGTGTTATAGGAATAATTTTCTTAGTCTACTCCCATCAGGGCAGCGGTGCTGGCATTCAGATTGGGACCTGATTATATCACCAGAGAGGGACCCCTTCTTAAATGCACAAGAGCTCCCAAACACCTTGATTTACTAAACTGTAACTGGCAAATGGTTTGGGTACATCTTTTATTAGCATCTTTGCTTTGTCTCAGAAGCATCTCAAGGCTGCCCTGGTAGCAAGACGCAGAGCCTGGGTGCAGATGGTGCAGGAGATGGTCTGTTCCCCTGCACCCTGCAGGAAGGGGAAGTAGCAGAGAAAAGAGAAACTGTGTCAAACGTCTGTCACTCAAGATATCCTTTCACTCTTGAATAATAAATGGCTTTTTGTGTTGGCTAATTAGTATGCACAAGTCCTGTGGTAAAAGCTCAGTGAGAAAAAAGAAATTCAGGCTTAGTTCACATAGATCCAGGACAAACCTCACAGTAAAAATGATGTACTTTATTATTACCAAGGTTTTACTACAGGACTGATGAGTATTAAATAGGAAAAAAAAAAGAGTAATGGAAACCATAAAGAAGAGAGAAAAGCCCATTTTGTCATCTCATTCACCCTCCTGCTGAGAGTATCTCATACCCATTACTTGTCTTTTTGGTCAGTTCTACCCCAAAAGGCCTGTAATATTTTGTTCTTTTTCAGAGGGGTGACAGAGTCACCTCCCTGGCTTGCAAGCCTGCCAAGCCACTTCAAGTCCCAGCCCTGCACTGAGCTAATTGAATGACACACAGAAAATTGCTTCCCCTCCCTGTTCCTCAGTTTTTCAGTGCAGAGTGAGGACTGCAGAGATCTTACAGTCCCTGGAGGCAAGGATGCATCTCCAGGGGATGAGGTGAACATTTCTGGAGTTTCTGGAACCACCCGTTTCTCTCCCCACTTTGAATGAGAAGCTGCTGGTTGTTACATTCTCAATTTAGGCATGTCATTAAGCGTCTGAAGTTAAGTTGGTGCCGTCTGGGCTGTCGAGTCAGATCTGGGTTTTGTTTGTGCCTAAATAATGTGGAATGACAGAGCTTGGCATTCTCCAACCCAGGTGTCCAACTTTCCCTGTTTGCAGGTCATTCATCCTCTTTCACAACAGCTCACGTCCTCGTATAACTCGTGTCCCCGTGTAACCCATGCCTGCCCCTTTCTAAGCAGGGCTGCACATTTCAGTGGCACCGAATGCAATGGGCTCTTCACTTGAGTAAACAGTCTGCTCTTTGGCAAACATATCACATCACTGACAAACACTGGGGAACCCAGATCTTTCCTGAACTAAAATTATTCAATGTTTTTCCAGGAAAATATACCATCCCAACAACGCACAGCTGGGGATGGCTGTGATGCGGGCAGGAGTGACTCACTGGCATGCTGGTCTCATTGAAGCCGGGCATGGCTTGATCTGTAAAGCCTATGCCATTCTCCTGATAACCCATGGACCTTCCCACCCAATTACCAAAGACCTGGAGGTAGGTGTCATCTCCTCTGTTGTCTCTGCTGGCTGGCTGGGCAAAATTACATTCAAGCTGTAGAAACAACCCACACCTAAGAGCCGAGAGATTCATCAAGTACTGGCTGCTTCTTACTAGTGCTGTGGTTTTCCCTAGATTATGTTACAGTCTGCTGGGAAATGCATGTCCCTTCCTACGGGAAATTTTCATCCCTGAAAAATAGCTTTTATCCTGCACCAGGACATACATTAAAAATGGCCACTGAGCTCCTGAATCTTCTTTGAAACTGCCGTCCTCAAGGACAGAGCCTGCCATTCTTCAAACAGCCTGATTTCTCTGCTCTTGGATGGATGGCATTACATTTTGACAATATCAAATTATGTATGGTGGATGTTCCTAGTTTACCAACTGATTTTCCTTATCGGTGTCCATTCTTCTTTATTTACTACTCCCCAGTCCTTCTAAGCTGCAATGTGTTTTTTCCTCAAATGACTGATAGGTGTATTTCCTAGCTTAGGGTCAGGAGCTGCAGATCCCAGGGAATTACATCTGCTCGGCTGTGATGAACTATTTACAATTGCAGCTGGGGATCTACAATTTCTTTAGCCTTTAACTCACCTGATGTGACCTGTTGGCTTTACAGCATTCTCCTTTATTAACCAAAAAAATTATATGATACCAAATGAAATCCTTTATTGATGTCTTAGTCCCCATTATAGCAGCACTATAACCTTTATTAGTGCAATTTTATATCATCATAAAAATGAGTATCTAGTACCTAAAGCCAACCTGTCTGTTGACTGTTTGCCTATATATAGCAGAGGGCAAGACCCCAGAACCTCCATTTCTGTATCTTCCTTCCCATGTACTTCAGGAGGAAAACGGTGGATATATGGCACATATTTATCTCTGTGCTTCTAAACCAAGGGTTGAATAAACTCACAGACAGGTGTAAAAAGATTTCCTAAAATCCATTCTGAGCCTCTGCCATAGTGCAGCACTAGGAATGACTCTGCTCACAGTGAATCCTGGGCTGCAAGGAGTGCGACCATGACGTGGTCGAAGAGGGGCTGAGCATCCTCCTCCTCCTCTCCTGCCTACTCCCACACAAGGTGACCCCCACCCCGGTGATGGGTCACACCAAGGGTCAGGCCCAGGGTGTGGATGGGAAGCACGCTCACTCCCTGGCTCTGCACAGCATTGCCTCTAGGCCCTGCATCAGGTTTGGGAGCATGAGGCTTCCCAGCAGCCTGCGGAAGAGCTGGGGGCAGGAAGGGCTGATGCCTTCTTCACCTTCACAGTACACAGGTAACCAGGTTTGAGAAAGTGACTGGATATCTGTGTCCAGTCAGCTTTGGTCCTGCTGGTGGGACATGTAGATTAAATTGCATCAGTCATTACATGGCCTAGGACATCCCTGAAGGACGGTCCCCATTTTTAGGCAGTGCTTTATTCACTTGCTTTGAGACCCCCTGCGTTACAGGTTTTATAACCTGTTGTGTCCCTCAGGTCATGCGTGTCCAGACGGAGATGGAGCTGCGCATGTTCCAGCAGAATGAGTTCATGTATTACAAGATGAGGGAAGCTGCCCTCAAAAACCAAAAGATTCAAGTCATGCCTGAACCCAGCAATGAGACCTCACCAAGCCTCTTCCACAAGAAAGAATAAACCCTGAGCTTGAAACAAATTCATGCCTGTGGGATAACATCGTCTGTGGCACCTCCAAACATGGGGAATGTGATATAGGAATGTGATATATCCATAAGGATTGTTTCCAGTGGCACCAGTCTGACAGCATGGACCCGCTGGGGGAGTCCTGAAAAATCTTCTGAGGGCTCAAAGCAGAGGAGATCTTGGCAGAAACATCTTTTTTCTACCGCTAGTATTAAAAATCAAAGCAAAACCACCTGTTATAAAATTATTTGCATTCTTATTGGAAGCCTGTTTGTCTCTACACAAGTCCTGATCCTGAAGTCCTTGGTTAAATTTTAATTGATTAAGTGATTTTGCTTGTGTTTCTCCACATCTAAGATGAGTTCACTGGAGACCAACATCTAATTTTTAGGAGCTGTTGACCTAGGCCTTTCCATTTGTCCATGAGGTGCCCATCTGATGCCCAGTGTGACAAACCATACCGGTTCAGTTCCTAGCATGAGGATCAATGTCGACCTGTAACATGAAAACCTTCCCTGAGGAAACGGGAGTCATGGTAGAGATGCACATGAGGACAAATGGGTCCTTTAGTGGCACGTATTGGGGTTGTAGGACGAGGTGAGGAGGCACTGGTGGTGTTTTCTTAACATGCTGATCAGCTTTGAGCGGTTGTGAGAACATCATCACAGCTAGGTATATCACAACAGAAATACACCCATTTCCCAGTGACGATTCCCAATCATCATCCAAGCACAAGGCTTGGAAAAGGCAGCTAAGAAGGAAGAGTTTCCTCTCCTGTGTGTGTCCGAAAACCACATCTCCATCCAGCCAAGCGAGAGCATGGGAGATGACTGTGGTGCTCCTTCTGTGTCTACAGTGTGAACAACCAGTGTCCATCTCCTGCCAGGAAAGAAAACCTGTATTCCACCCTGGAAGGAGAGCTCAATTCCAGTTCAACCCAATTTATCAGGCGCAGTTTGGGGTGAAACACACACTGGACACCTGCAGGCTGTCCAGGGCCCTCTTGCTGGTGGGAAGGGATGAGGAGGAGATGGGGATGGAGTGGCCAGAGCCTGTAGGGCTGGATCCTTTTGCAGAGGTGTGAGGATGGGCATGGCAGTTGGGACACCCGAACTGCCCCCACGACGGTTGCTTCCCCAAGGCAACTTTCCAGGCAGGATCACTGACATTTTTTTGAGCCCATCTAAACCTCCCCGTCCTTTGGCCCTGCCAGTCACCTTGTGGTCACTTTGGCCATGTTTGTAAGGAAAGGGAACAGAGCCCTTTCCTTGCCCAGTGCTTCTCCATCCAGCCAGCCAGGGCAGCCGTGGGTGCACGACCCACCAGGACATCCCCAGCAGGATGCTGGCACCTGTCACCAGGAAGGGGCTGGAAGAGTGCTCATCAGCATGGAGCACATCTCAGAGGGTCACTCAATGGCTCCGAGCCTGCGCCTTAGCCCAGCTCCATTCACTGACATCAGCACAGCCTTGGCTCAGTCTGTTGCCCAATTTCTGCCAGGGCTTGCGTGAGTTTTGGAGGCTTGCATCTCTTTATAGCAACAGCGAAGAGGTTGATGATAATAATGAGGCCTTTAATACAAATTTTACTTTAATGGACACATTTTACACAGTAAAATGATTGGCATGTGCAGGGTCTCTAGATTCTCTTGCTGATTCTCTTGTAGGTGAGGTCTCCCATGGTCATTGTCTGAAAAACAAATGGATAGCGTTAGCTTTTCATGGCGCTTGGCTCCAAAATCGACTTGGAAAGGATCTGGTCTTGCAAATCAAAACAGGACTGGTCCCCAGTCTATCTCCTATAAACTGAATTATTAAAGCTTTGGATGTCTTCATGAATACCCCAAAGCAGGTAGGGATAATCTGGCATCCCTCAACTGGGATCAAACTGCTGCACCTCTCTTCTTTAAAAGTGCCATGCCCAGCCACATAAACATCTGGGTGGGTGGGAACATGCCCTCACTGCATGAAACTTTGATCAGAAATGCCTACTGGGGTCTCAAAGAGTACTTTTTGGATCAGACTATACCGAAAAACTGCCTTCAGTGCCTGGCCAACTGACCAGCTTTGGTTACAAAGCCTGAGTGCAAGCGTGTGCTCAGCTCCAGCACCCCTCTAAGGTCCCCAGCATCTCTGTAGGCTTTGTAGGGCCAGAACCCTGAAGGCAGCTGTATGCACCGTTACTCCAGCCATTGCCCCTCTCATCTGCACTTACATTGGTGATAGTGTCTCCGTTGAGTTCAGTGACGGATTTCAGCCCTTTCAGGTTTGCGACCAATCTGTTGTTACCCTCCAGCTGAACAACAGCCTGGTAGAGAGGGGAGGAGACAAAGGCATTCATGTTATTGCTGAAGACCATATCAACCCCTTCCCTTTCTGTACTGAGCTGCCACCGTCCCCTCTGCAAGCCTGTTTGGAGCAAGCTGCTCCCCCGGTGATTTTGGCTTTCCTGGGAGGAGGAGAAGAGAGGGTTGTGCTGGTGGTGACTACAACACAGCAAGGGTATGGATGTTTACTTTGGGCTCTACAGGGGTGCGATTTTGCCACGGTACCTACCTCTCTCCCCTTCAAATTGAGACTCACTCACGACTCCCACACTGTTAGATGGCAGAGGCATTTTGTCCTTCCCTTTCTGTACTGAGCTGCCACCGTCCCCTCTGCAAGCTGTTTGGAGCAAGCTGCTCCCCCGGTGATTTTGGCTTTCCTGGGAGGAGGAGAAGAGAGGGTTGTGCTGGTGGTGACTACAACACAGCAAGGGTATGGATGTTTACTTTGGGCTCTACAGGGGTGCGATTTTGCCACGGTACCTACCTCTCTCCCCTTCAAATTGAGACTCACTCACGACTCCCACACTGTTAGATGGCAGAGCAGGGATCCTTGGCATCCCTTGACATCACACCAACACATGAGTTTTGGGGGAGGACAAAGAAGGCTTTTCACCCCGCCAATACTGGTGCCTCTGTGCAGCCCTGATGCTCCTTGGGGCAACTCCTCATGCAGCACCCAGATCAAGAGGACCTGCACACCTCCAAGGAGAGGACTGCAGAGCCACCTGAGCTGGGCCAGGGCATGCCATGTTGTCTCCTCTCCACCGTTCACCTATGGCACATTACTGCAGCAACCTCCTTTGGGGTGGGGTGATGGGGAGCTGGGTGACAGTGTGGGGCTGGGGGAGTCTCATTCAAGGTGGGAAACAATTTAAGGAGCTTTCAGAAACACAGTCATGGCTGGAGAGCTCTCTGGGGAACAAGCACATCTCCTGAGTCTCTGCCCCCCAGGAGCTGCACGTCTAAAAAGACTCCAAACATCACTGACACCCCCAGGGCCAGCTATCACTGATCATTGAAATTACTCAAAGAAATAACCGAGCAAAAACCATTTCTGTTCATCTGTCTGTCCAGCTGTAAGACATGTTCATCTGCCCTCGAGTTGCTGAATTTATGGAGGGTAAAACTCTTCTAATAGCCATTTCCCCCTAGTTTATGTGCAAGGGACTTCAGTGATGCTGGAAATCGTGATACAGCAGGTACAGCTCTCAGAGCCCGATTCATTAGGTCTTTTTTTTGGTGATCATTCCTCCTGCTTTCAAAAGTCCCTGCAATATCATCGTCTTCTGAGGTAGAGGTGAGAGGCAATATTTGCTGGTGGCGCTCTCTTGACATTTTATGAACCATTGTAAACTAATGTCCAGAAACGGGAGCTGACCCAGTTTCAAGGGTGATAAATCCTCACCTTGCCAAATCATCTCACCCAGCGTAAACAGAAGCAGTAGAAAAGGCTAACAGACGAGCTAACAGCTGCTGGGACTTAAAAGGAGAGATTTATTGGTTTATGATTCATTGGCTGACTTTCCTGCACTACCTTTAAGTCAACAAAACGAAGGTGGGGATATGTTTCGTGTTGCAACATGACAGAAAGTCAACCCTTTTCCACCTCAAATCTTTCAGACCTTTTCTGTCAGAAAAATTTACTAAAGCATCTCTATCCCCCTTTTCCAAACGGGCTATTAAAACACTGGCTTCCAGTGTGTCCTGGTTTTGGCAGGGATAGAGTTAATTTCCTTCCTAGTAGCTGGTACAATGCTGTGCCAATTTTCCAAATTGGCTATTAAAATAGCTTTAGAAATGCAAGGCTTCATCTGCAGAAGTGCTAGCTGGAGAGCTTGTGTGATGTTTTGTAAAAGCGAAGAGGGGAGGTGGGAACTTCAGATTCTTGGGCTCTGAGTTTCTCAGGAAGGTGGCTCAGAAATGGACTGTCATTTTCGGAAATGTGTCCCTAAGAGCCTTGCTGAGGACCTGCAGGGAGCAGGGCAGCGCAAGTCACATCTGCAGACTTTGTTTCAGCAATTAGCCCCTTCCCATTATATTAAATCATGCATGCAAACCGTGAGTGACAGAACCAGGCTGGGGAATTACCCAGGTCTTTGCCCTGTGTCAGCTTTAACATCCGTGGTCTTGTCATTCCCTTTGGCCCAACTGCAGGGGGAATGGCTGGGAAGGAAATTTAATGTCCCTGAGCCCCTGCAGCCCTGGCAGAGGAGGAGCTGATCACTCACCTTGACCTTCTCTCCTGTCAGCATCTCCATCTCGCACTCCTCCCCGATGGTGAACTCGTTGTGCAGCACTTTGGAGCCAGTGGTCACAGTAATCTTGAACTTTTTCCCATCCTGCACAATTTCCGAGATGCTCTTGATGTCCTTGCCCTTCTGGATCTGATCATCAGGAAGCCCTGCCCAGGAACAAGAGATGTTAGGTGGACCTTGGAGCCATTGGTGGGCAGAGCTGCTGCCGAATAAATGCGGTGGGATTTGGGGACACACAGCTGGGAGGATTTCTATTCTAGTGTGGAAAAGCCTCACAAGGATGATGGTTCCCCAAGGGCCACAAGGCCCTGAGTCTGCTGGGGAGGAAGAATAACAAATACTGTCATCCTGGGTTTGTGTGGGAACTAGACTTCTCCCTTGTCCCACTGACTTGGCTGGGAGCAGAACAGCTACCTCCCTGGCCAAGCATCAGAGGGAAAGAAGAAACCCTGTCTTCCTTCCTTCGCTGAGAGGCAAGCAGAGAAAATGGAATAAATCGAGGCAGAGGGAGGGAACCAAGTGGATTTTTTATGAGATTCAGGGTCCCTCAGAACTAGCTCACTAAAATCTCCTCCCAAAGCCTGAAGCTGATCTGACAAATAGAGCCCCTCCGGCACATAACTCTGCAGAAGTGGTGCAAAGCCTCCTGAATCCCTGCAGGAGCACATTCCCTGGCACTGTCACTGGTGGAAATCTAGCTAGCCACATTCATCATTAAGCTTTTAAACAACCCGACTATTTTTCTGATCAATGGTGGAATTTGGGGCTTTGCGGCATCACAGAGCAGCAGCACGGTGTGCTGAGCGATGTCCTGCTTGCTCTCACATTCCACAGCCTAATAGGGCAGATCTGCAGTCGCCCTAAGCAGGTCCCGCTGGCTTAGCGCGTGTGTGCAGCACTGCCACGCTGGCCCGTGGCTGCAGAAACTGCTGGGACCGTTTTCCTGCAAGCCATAAAATTTCACCCAGCATCTCTTGACCTCCAGCCACCAACCAGAGGGATGCTTTCTCTTCTATTTTGAGATCACATCTCCAGGCACATGCATTTTAAAAAACCCAACAATTGCAAGATGACAGACAAAAATAGGAAATCTGAGAGATGTTTTCAATCTACAGCGTCAGCACATCCGCACAGTTGGACTCCCAAATATCAGGGGGATCTGTGGAGGCAAAGCAGCACGCCGCACATGCAGGCACTTACCAAGGGCTTTCATAAAAGGCTCAAAATTTTCCTGGGACTGGAGTTCATACTTTCCAGTGAAGCTCATGATGGGAAGGCTCTCTGTGCTCCCAACACAAGAGAAAGTGCCTTGCTGGTAAGCAGAGCTTGGTTTTATAAGGTCCTTTTGCCCTAAAACTTGGTCAGAGGTAAGATGATGTAATTCTTTTATGGCCATGTTCAAACATTAACATATAACTGGGCAATGGTCAGTGATAAATTGCTCTACATTTTACAGACCTCAGTTTACAACGTGGGGGCAGGGAAATTCCCATAAACCTGTTTTATGCAGGTAGCAACGTGGCATCCATAAATGAATGATAAAAATATAATTGTGCAAAGAGATTAATTATCAGAGGAATGAGCCAAATCATCTAATCAGCTTGCAGTCTGGAAGCGCACATCTGGAAGAGGAGAAAGTGGTAAAAGATTATGGTGTCCCCTGGAGCTGACACTGGTGGGGTTTCTACTCGCTCATGTGTGCACACTGGGTCTTTAGCACTGGCATGAAGAGTAGTGGCTGCACGCTGGCAGGGACTAACTTGCTCACTCCTTCAGATGCCTTGCGGTCCTCTGTAATGGTGGGTTTTGGTGTAAGCCAGATGTAGCAGTAGTCACAAAATCATCATTGTCCCCTAAGGAAAAAACACGACTCAAAATCAAATCCTGGGCTTGAACTGGCCCATCCTGAAGACTGCAGTTTAATTCAGACTCCAACACTATGGCCTTGCCTCCAGAAAGGGGTTTCATGTGGATAGATGGACGGGTGCCGTTAGTGATCAACCAAGGCTATTGCCAGGAGCCACCACTAAAACCCCTTTCCTCTCCTTTCCCCAGAGGAGCCACAGTCTGTCGTGTACTGAAGGAGCATCCCGGCCCTCAGAGCTCCATTTCTCCCAAAGGCCACATCAGAAGTAGGGCCAGCAGCAGCCTCCAAGCTGAGCCCGATTCCTCCCTCCAAAGCAGGACTCGGGGCTGGGCTCCTTTCCCGGTGTGGTCCCCTTGGCTGAGCGTCCCAGGTTGCTGCATGGCGTCTGAGCATTTATCCTCTGCGTCTGGACTCCCAGGCTCAGCTTCTTGCTCCCATCTCATCCTCTGCCTCAGTGAATTCCTCCTCCCTCCCAAAGTCACCAGCTCAGAGGTTTTCCCCCTTTTCACTCATATGCCTTCTCCTCTTTGCAATTCTTCCATTCTGCCTTCTCATAACATCTTTGGCCTTTTTTTAAGTGAACTCACGGATAAGCGTGAAAAAAATCTATCTCCTTCCAATTTGGAGATGCTGCTAGAGCCCTCTGCAGCCGCCTGTCCTGCTCCTGCAGGCTCAGCCCGGGGCTGCTGCCCGCCTCCAATCTCTGTGCTGCAGCGATGCACAGTGATGCTGCCTGGGCTAGATTCAGCCTCGGTTTCTGGTTAATTAGTACAGGCAGTGTCTGCCTGACAAGGCAGGAGAGGGAAAACCTTTGCCCTGCGGTGGGTGAAGTTGGCTGGGGGGTGTCCGCGGGGGAGATCGCCCCTCCGCATTGTGGCAGGGGCCGGGCGGGTTCAGAGAGCGCTCGTGAGGGGGTTGATTCAGCACTTTCTCCAAACAGCTTTACAGCTTTTTTTCCCTTTTATCCCAGGCTTCCCAACAGGAATGACATCACCTTAGGAACTGCATTTCTTTTTTTCCCCTGTCCCAGGTGAATATCCCGGGGTCATGCGGGGCTGTGCTGCCACATGTCCCTTTTCAGTGTCTTCTTCATGAGGACAGTGGTGACTGACTTTTCTGGCTGGGCCCTGGCAGCAGCCGGAGCTGGCAGCTCCCCGCGTCCCGTCAGGTAATGTCCTCCAGCCATGGGCCACCTGGAAACACACGTGTGCCTCCCATGCATTCATGCCCTGGACCTCTGGCTGCTCCTCCAGGCAATTTGGGTCCCCTCTCTTTGCATGATGGGGAGAGTGATTCAGACTTGAAAAACCACCTGAATATTTTTCTATCATCTGACTCATTTCAGAGCCCAGCTCTCCCGATGCACCGTGGGGTGATCACCATGGCAAAGCTCCAGCTCTGCATGGCTCATTTTTCCGCCACCATCATCGACCGGAGTAGCCTGGAGTTGTGGTTTTCATTCATTTTTCAGTGAGATGCACTCCTGGACCGGCCACATCTGACCACATCCCACTGCTGGGGCGGATGCCCAGTTCTCACCCATTTCTAAGTGCAGGCTAGGGAGAAGGGGTGGCTGCTAAGTCAGTGGGGAGAGACCTTTCTCAGGTAACCCCAGCCACTTGCAGTGCAATGCGTACCTCTGAGCTGACGTCTAGATAAGCCGAAGGAGAGAAATAGGAGAAACACATCATGAGTAGAGTCCCAGGGCTGCCTATCCACCTCCAGCCTCTCCAGAAGAAGCCTATATGACTAGGGCATTTGTAAACGCTTCATATTAGCCAAGATGAATCCAATCTTAGGTGCTTGAAGGAACGCCTGGTATTTTCCCTGACCCCCCATCTCAGCCACTGCAGAATTCCCAGGACCACACTCTACATACCAACTTGAAAGGAGATAAAACCACCAAGCTAATGAGACCTGAACCTAAGATAGGATTCGGAAAAGCCCACCAGGTTTTGTCCCACAAACTTTTAAATAGTTATCATGCCTAATCTGGGCAGCTGAACCACTTAGAAAACCACCAGAAATTGGGTGAGAACTCCCCCTGGGCAGGCCAGGCTCCTAAGGTCTGGATGTCACCCACCAAATATTAAAAGGAGAATGTAATTGTTCAGGACTCCTTTGGTAGTTGGCAGAAATGGGCAACTCATGAGAGAATTCACCCCACTTGGGACCCAAGTTGTTTTCTGCAGGTATCCTCTCCTCATTTACTGTGGATAGATACATCTATGCTCGCAGCTTCAGTGTGTTGGATAAATGTGAACTATGGATCACTGCTGGCAGGTTTGGAAATGCAACCAACTGATTTTTGATCAATGATCAAAAAAACCCCCTCTTTGTTTTGTCTGCAAATATTCTGCTGGACTCGTGTTCTTTTATTTCCCCTAGTAAAGAAATGCAGAAGTTTAGGCTTGCCAATGTGACGCCCATCCACAAGAAGGGCCGGAAGGAGGATCCGG